CAGTCTTCTTATAATCACCATGACTTTACATACTGCAAATGTAAGTGACACTGGTCCGTAGTTTGGTGCTGCTTATCTGTTTCCTATCTTAAAAACTGGGACTACATTTGTTGTCTTCCATACCTCTAGTGGCTTCCTTTTTCAGTAGATTTGTTGATTGTTGTTAGTAGCACACTGTCTCTGCTTCTTCTCTCAGTACCCATCGAAAGAAGTAGTCTGGGCCCACTGCCCTCGAGGTATCTAGTTTGCACAGCAGTTTCTCCTCCTCGGTTGTGTATAGAGTGTCCAGTACTTGTTGGTGTTCCTTACCACCTACAGGTTTGCTGGAAGCCTTTGTCTCCTTTGAGAATTCCTGGTCATTTCCTTCTAGCTCCCCTCCTTTCTTCCTCAACCTGATTACCTGGTCCTTGGCTCTTGATTTCCTCCCGATGTGACTGTATAACAGCTTTGGGTCAGATATGGCTTTCAATGCTATGTCATTCTCATACTGCCGCTGGGCCTTTATTCTTATCCATGCATATTCGTTTCTGGCTCTTTGGCTCATCTCCTTATTTTCCTTGGTTCTTTGTCTTCTTTACTTTTCCATGTTCTAGCGCATTTAGCTTTGGCCTCTCTATACCTTTAGGTGAGCCATGGTCTTCCCATTTTTTCTGTTACCCTTGTGTACAAACTTCTCGTCTATCTTTCTGCAATTTTTGGCCACGTGTTCCATCATTTTATTTACTGTCTTTCCCTCCAGTTCTTTTACTCACTGAACCTCTTGATACAGGAATTGCATCATGCCTGTGTTGTGTAGTTTCCTCTTTTGAAGTTTGGCTTCTCCCGTCCTTCTTGTACTGCTTTATTCTCCACTGTTTTATTTGAAACTCAAGACCATGTGATCAAAAGTGCCGAGGGGCCTTTCATATGTAATATCTCAAATGTCGGAACTGCTCAAAGTGAATACTAGGTCCAGTCTTGCTGTTTCATTCTTTTCTCTCTCTCTCTGGGTGTGTCCCTAACATGTTGATGAATGATGCTTTTCAGTACTGCCTTTGACATCTTAGCCCCCCACTTTTCTGGTCCCCATATAGATCCAGGTTTTCCAAATCGATCTCCTTGTGGTTGAAATCCCCAGTAACTAATAACTTTGCCTTACCCAGTGGGGCCTTCTGACCACCTAAGCTATTGTTTACCATTGTTCTGTTCCTCTCATCATACTCTTGTTTTGGTCTCTTGCTATTCTTCAGCGGGCTGTACACCACTGCTACCACCACCTTGGTGCCCCCAAATCTGAAGAATTCTACTATGTATTTACCTACTTCCCCTATGTCCATACCATCCAGCTCCTCAAAATTCCATTGGTTTTTGATGAGCAGATCAACTCCTTCCCTCTGTTCTCTTTGACTTTCTTCAGGATCTGATACCCAGCCAGGAAGATCACGTCTGTTATCCCAGTGAGTTTTGTTTATGTGATTGCTATGATGTTTGGGGATACCTTCATGATTCGTTTGTGTCGCACCTTCTTCTCTTCTTGCAGGTGGGGGAGGGGGTTGTTTGGGGTTGTGAGAGTGGGTGGCAAGGCACGATACTATGGGTGACTGCTGTGAAGTTGGAGTTTATATGTTGGAAGGGTGGAGTCCGTGGGCGTGGATTTTGGTTTGTTTTGGGATTTTGTGTTTGGGTGTGGTGACAGGTAGGGGTCGAGGATGTTCTGTGGGTGGTTGCATTTAGTGATCCTCCCAAGTCTGGACTTGCCTACCTGTCAATGCCTGCTTTGTCTCTCCTTCCTGTCCCTTGTGTCTTTGTATTCTCTCTCTCTCTCTCTCTCTCTCTCTCTCTCTCTCTCTCTCTCTCTCTCTCTTGGCCTCTCCCATTCTTTTCATGTTCTGCCGAGGTGGAGGTACACTCACTGCTATTTCTGTGAGTTCTTTAACCATGGTTTCTACTGCAAGATCCTGTTTCATACAATTTCTGTTATGACTGTCAATTTGACTGGGCGATTTTTCATCTCTAATATCCTCAGTTTTCTAAAAATTTGTGAGTTTGGTCATATCCTCTACTGTTTGTTTGATGATATTTTCAATTTATTTCATCGTCCCCTGTCATCTTACTTTGCATGTCCTCTGTTCAGCCTCCTGAAGCCCATGAATAATTGACCTTACCCTCTCATCTTCCCATTTTCTTTCCCTTTGCATCTTTGGGTCTGATTTAAGCCTCACCATTGTTGCTTCACTTAATATTTCCTTAACCTCTCAGTGGCCTGATAACACCTCGCTATCGACTGTTGTTCCTGTTCCTCGGCTCTGCATCCCACTTCATTGTTCCCAATTCTTACTCTCTTCAGCTATCCTCTCCACCATCGTGTGTGTGTGTACTCACCTATTTGTGGTTGCAGGGGTCAATTCATAGCTCCTTGTCCCGCCCTTTCACTGATCACTACTGGGTCCTTTCGCTGTTCCATGAGCTTTATCATATCTCGTCTTGAAACTATGTATGGTTCCTGCCTCCATTACATCGCTTGCTAGACTATTCCACTTTCTGACAACTCATGACTAAAGAAATACTTCCTAGCATCTCTTTGACTCATCTGAGTCATCAACTTTCAATTGTGACCCCTTGTTTCTGTGTCCCATCTCTGGAACATCCTGTCTCTGCCCACACTCAATTCCTTGCAGTATTTTGTATGACATTGTCATGTCTCCCATAACCCTCTTGTCCTCCAGTATTGTCAGGCCAATTTCTTTTAACCTTTCTTCATAGGGCATTTTCCATAGCTCTGGAATTACTCTTGTTGCAAACCTTTGCACTTTCTCTAATTTTCTGGCGTGTTTGACCAGGTTTGGGTTCCAAACTGGTGCTGTATACTCTAGCATGGGCCTGACGTACACTGTGTACAGAGTCTTGAACGATTCCTTACTGAGGTATCGGAACACTATTCTCAGGTTTTCCATGAGTCCATATGTTGCAGCAGTTATCTGGTTGATGTGCGCCTCAGGAGATGTGATCGGCATTATACTCACCTGATCCCTTTCCATGAGTGAGGCTTGCAGTCTTTATCCACCTAGCCTGTACTCTGCAACCTTATTTGCCCTTCCCCTATCTTCATGACTTTGCATTTGGCGGGGTTAAATTCAGGGAGCCAGTTGCTGGATCAAGCTTGCAACCTGTCCAGGTTTCTTTGTAGTCCTGCCCGATCCTCATTCGATTTAATTCTCCTCATTTATTTCACGTCATCTGCAAACTGGGACACTTCTGAGTCTATACCTTCCGTCACGTCATTCACAGCACTGGTCTTAGGACTGAGCCCTGTGGAACCCCGCTCGTCTCAGGCGCCCACTCTGACACCTCGTCACGTACCATAACGTTATTGTTGTTGCTTCCCTGTCAGGTACTCCCTGATCCATTGCAGTGCTCTTCCTGTTATTGTGCCTGGTCCTCCAGCTTTTGTACTAATCTCTTGCGAGGAACTGTGTCGAAGGCCTTCTTGCAGTTCAAGAAAATAGTCTACCCACGCCTCTTTCTCGTGTCTTACTTCCGTTACGTTGCCATAAAACTCCAGTAGGTTTGTGATACAGGACGACTTTCCTTCCCTGGACCATGTACTCGCCTATTTGTACTCGCCTATTTGTGCTTGCAGGGTCGACTCTTAGCTCCTGGCCCCGCCTCTTCACTGGTTGCTACTGGGTCCTCTCTCTCCCTGCTCTGTGTCCCTTCCCTGGAACATCCTGTCTTTGTCCACCTTGTCTATTCCGCGCAGTATTTTATATGTCGTTATCATGTCTTCCCTGACCCTCCTGTCCTCCAGCGTCGTCAGGCCGATTTCCCTTAATCTTTCTTCATAGGACATTTCCCTTAGCTCTGGAACTAACCTTGTCGCAAACCTTTACACTTTCCCTAATTTCTTGACGTGCTTGATCAAGTGCGGGTTCCAAACAGGTGCTGCATACTCCAGTATGGGCCTGACGTACACGGTGTACAGTGTCTTGAACGATTCCTTACTAAGGTATCGGAACGCTTTTCTCAAGTTTGCCAGGCGCCCATATGCTGCAGCAGTTGTGTGTGTGTGTGTGTGTGTGTGTGTGTGTGTGATGTTTTGCCTTTACCTTTATGTACTCAAAAGTACTTAATTAACATCAGCCACATTCTCCTGTCCCCCAACATACCTGCTGACGGGTGTGCATGTGGGATTATTCACAGAGGTGGCCTGCTTCATTTGAAATTCAGCTTAAGGGTCTACTCCTTAACTTTCAGCCAACTTACGTAGTTGATGGCTGACCTCCTATCCTCTACCATCTTGATCCAAATGACGCACTGCTAAGAGTGGTAAAGAAAAGACTTACGTTGCAGAACAAGCTTTTATTGTGCAAATAAAAGCAACATACGGAGCGAAACATTGTCCTTTTTATCACTCTCGCATCTACTTCCTACCATATCTTCTAAGCTTGAACCCCTATATCACTACATTTGCACTACAGTTACGCTCTAACATTTTCGTGGCTATTCTGGGTGTGTAGGTTCCTTTAATGACCCCCTTGTTCTGGCTTATCTTATGGTAAATAATCTTTGCTTCTAAGTAACATGAATATCATGACTATCTGCCCCATCGCATTCTTGAGATGCAACATTTAGCTCCTTTAGTTTTTCCTTTTAGTTCATATACTTCAGCTCCAGGACTAGTCTGTCTGCAACCAACGGATTTTTCTGTCTTGTATATGTAATTGATTGGTATTGACTCCACCGGTACAACATGACAGGGTAACGACCGGTACAATTGATAATGTTGTCAGAGAAAAACATGTCTGAATACTCACTGGTGCAGTATAAACCAGAAAACTTAGTGATGGCAAGAGTGATGAAAGTTGAGCAGGCCTATAATGTTTGTTTCTGAAGCCAGTTCTCGAAGATTTGGCTAATGTATGTCCTGCGTAGGATATTGAAGGGAATCTTAGAGCAAGAAGGTTGCGTATAGATTGACTGAAAAAAGATCATGGGGTGTTCATCAGCCATGAAATACTTACCGTTGGCCAGGGCCACACTAGAGACGAGTATGGCAGTTGTGGCGACAAGAGAGAGTGAGAATGGGGTGACGCAGCCGCTGATGGTCATGCCTTCACACCTGCTGAAGTCTTGGAAGATCTCTGGAAAAGAGAAGTATGCGCTTCAGTGTTCGACTGAAATGAGGACGATGAGAGAAATATCAGATGAGAGAGTACTGGTAGGATGGCGATGAAGATGATGATCGTATTATGATGCTGAAGATGATTATAATAATGATGGCAGTGATTATTATTGTAATGGTTATTGTGATGATGGACAGATTGATGAACGGAAGTAATAATAAAATTAATGTGAACTCGCAATAGAGAAATTATAAGGAGTGAGTCAGGTAACAACCGTAATGACTCCAGATACACTCTTGCAAAATGTTTGTTTTTTACCTCCCTAAGAGCGAGAAATATAAAAAAATCTGGGACTTTGCCTAACTTCATTAACTACAGAAAAGTTTTTTTTTTTTTTTTTTTTTTTTTTTTTTTTTTTTTTTTTTTTTTTTTTTTTTTTTTTTTTTTTTTTTTCATATGCTGTGAAACAAGCCGATCACACAAACCTAAATCCCTTCAATCACACTCATTGTTGCATTAACCCTTTGCCAGCGTTACATCAAGATATTTGGTAGCTTTGTATTATTCTCGTTCTCCTTCACTCTCTTTAAAGTGGTTCGCTTGATGTCGATAAAGGGCTCTTGATCTAAGGAACCGGGGCTTTCCTCACCTTATAATCAAACCTGATTACCTTCCATTCCTCGGGCGTTGTTTGGCTCCTACTACTGCCCTATGAATTTAATATTACTAACAAACAACTTCAGCATACCTTTATTTCTTAAGCATCCTAACAGAACCAAACAGGAATAGTACAGAAAGTGAAATCAAGAGCTGCTACAGTGACATTCTGTCTCCAGTTTAATGTCTTATTTCGTATCAGACATAAAGAGGAATATAAACCATAACACCGACTCATCCATTGCAACTGCTGCTAGAATTCGTATGTGTATGGCATCCATAGAAGACACAGCGAGCCTCCAGGCTGATGTAATTAAGTCTTCCAGTGAGCTATTGACAGCACTGTGAAGTTCATTGATGGAAAATTGATGAGAGATCCTTTCCTTTTGGTGGAGGGATTACGGTGTTCTCTTGCATGAAAGTACGGGTGGGCTTCGACTCCCTCAGGATGCCTTGGCATGAGAAAGCCTAACTGAACTCTGCACTTTGGGCTTGCTGTGCACTGTGATCGGTAAATTATTACCTCTCGCGCGGAAGTTCAGCAGATCACTAGTCACTGAGCCTGATCATGTGTGGAGAAATAGGAAATTACGGTGATTACTAAAATTGAATAGATAATCCTCCAACTCATACTGTTAACAACCCTTGATCATTTCAGAACTCTCCTCGGAATTACTGGCATCGTTTTCAAACACACTTTTGTTGCATGACTCCGGTACATACGTTCACCCTGACCTGTTTGGTAACCATGACCATCGACAAGTTTTGACCATGCTCTCGGCTTCTTCCTGGACGCAGCGTTGATTTAAGGATCGTTTGATCATCACAGGGCAAACACGGATGGTAGGTTGAAGGCATCACAGCTTAAAGCAGCCTCCGGGTATTTCCTGTTACTAGGGCTGTACTAAGGGAGTCTTAGTGATCATACTTCGAGATCTTGTCTATGAACAGTCATACATACGTACTCAAGACAAGGTAACGAATCTGTGAAATGAAATGAAAGTGAAAATTAACTGGTTGGAGCAAGAGCCTAAGTGCCGGTACCTCGGGCATTGGAAGTGGATACTAACAGCAGTTATTTAAGCGGACAAAAGTAAAATCACAAATTCAGGGAATTAGTGGAATAACAGGCAGAGTGAAGGATTATCTTGTAGTGATAAACTTTGATATGTGAGTTTAGACATCTCCACAATACGACAACCAAGGTAGTATTGCTTTAAGATGGCCACATGCTCTATTATGCAGTGACGAAGTCCAAAGATATGATACTCAACTAATGTCGGTTAATGGGGTTAGTTTACCTTTTCTTTTATATATACTTGGCTTTTAGCTAGCTATGAGACATTATTGTCTCCACAGCTCTGTGAGCCAGGCAACAGACAATGCAGCCTGGGAAGGTTAGGTAGGTATTTTGTTAAACCTGGAATAAAGCCGCTGTCTGGCTCTTATAGCAACACAAGCAGTTAGTGAAGGATTTTACAGGTAAATAAAAAATCTACAAATATTACTGTACATAGCAGTAGATAACGATGGGGAAGAAGGTGAGCAACATTATAAAGATATATAGTCATAGTCACAAAGGCAGGGTTATGGCAAAGCTGGGTGCTAAGATAAACAACTTTGGAGCACACTCGTCAGGCAGCTCATTCACAAACACATACACGCACGAGTGTATACACACACACACACACACACACACACACACACACCACACACACACATAACACACACACACACGCAACACACACACACACACACACACACACACACACACACACACACACACACACACTCGTGGAGGAGTCACGCGATTTGAGCTCGTGTTTTGGTGGTAATTTCTGACTGTGCCGTAAGGAATAGAGTGTGGGATATAGGTGTGTGCACGCATAAGAGTGCATATAATCACTTAAGCCCCGAAAAAAGGAAATATAAGTGATCACAGAAAAGAAAACAAAGGAAATCAGTGGCTGAGTGTTATTGGGGGCCGTTGGAAGGGTGAACGGTTGTGTCAGGTCTAAATAGTGTTGCCATAATAACGCAGTGGGGTATTTGAAGAATAAGTGCGACTCAAGACCAGGGAGATAAGAGATATGTATAGATGTGTCAGTAAATACAGTGAGTGAGTGAAAAAATTAGAAGAGGTAGAGACTATAGTGCATACAGGAAGTTAGTGGAAAAATTACCGAGAAGCATCAAACTTCTTCAACTTCTGAGACAGGACAGACCAGCAACGTTACTCCACTGCCAGCCGCAAGTAATATTCACCTAGTTTGAGTTGCATGGGGTCAATAGTACCTGTCTCTAGCTGTAATTGGGGGTCACTCTCCTCGAGCTATCAGAATTAGAATAAGCAGCATTTACTGGTATTTAATAAAATTTAGAGGTAGCGGCATGTAGGCGAAGCCTAGTGTATTTATTTTTGAACGTAATTTTAAACGAATAAGAGTACAGTGGAAACCAAGAGATTGGGTACATATACAATACATATGTAGTACATACGTGGGAAATAAGGACTATTTACATAAACATATCCACACACACTTGGTGAGAACAACTCTGCTGTTAGGCAATTGAATAGCTGTAGCACACACACACACACACACACACACACACATATATACAGGATTTCACACCTTCCTGTGAAGTGACACTATAACCCTTTCCCCCCATTTCTCTCCTCTCTCTCTCTCTCTCTCTCTCTCTCTCTCTCTCTCTCTCTCTGTCTCTGTCTCTCTATCTCTCCCTTTCTCTCATCCTCTCTCTCTTCCTCTCTCTCTTCTCTTCTCACTTTCTCTCTCTTCCTCTCTCTCCCTCTCCCTCTCTCTCTTCCTCTTCTTTTCTCTCTCTCCTCCCTTGTCACTCCCTCCTCTCTCTTACCTTTTCCCTCTCTCTCACTTTCTCCCCCTTTTTACCCTTCTTTTCCCCTCCTTCTAGGCTCCCCTTCTCTCTCTCCCTCTCTCTCACTCTCTCCCCTTTTTCTTTTTTTTCTTTCTCTCTTTCACTAAAGAAAAAAAACAAAAATGGTTGGGACTCGCAGGAATCAGGGATCAGATGACAATGGTACTGGTAGGGAGGAATGGATGGAGGAACAGTGGAAAAGGATAGAGCAAGAATGGGAGAGAAAATTAGGAGAGCTTTCTGAAAAAATGGAGAAAGAGCTCTCTGTGAAATGGGAAAAGAGGTTGGAGAAGGAGACAAAGAATTGGGAGGCACAAGTCGAAACTGCAGTAGCCAGGGTAAAGGTTCTAGAATTTGAGGTAAACAGGCTGAAGCAAGTCTCAGGGGTAGTAACCAGATAAGACATACCATACGAAGTTGAGAGGCTGAACAGGAAGGAAGGAGATTTGAATTATGCTAAGGTCATATCAGCCTGCAAAGAAGGGCCAGGGAGTGAAAGGGAAGAGCAGATGGGTGGAGATGGAGAGGGAGATAGGTTGAATGCTGAGGCACAACCATGCTACCAAGAGCCAATGGAAAAATCAAGGGAGAAAATGACCACATACAGACAGGAACCAGAGTCACAGAGGGAGAGGCAATGAGAGGAGGAAAGGGCAAAATCAGTGATTATCCATGGGCTTCGGGAGAGAGAGGAAAGGACACACACACTGAAAGACGGCAGGAAGAAAGAAAGGAGATTGAGAAAATCATCACGGAAATAGGGGGAGAAGACATGGATGAGATTGTAAATTTTCAGAGAATAGGGGGGTACTTGAAGGGGAGAAACCGACCGATCAAGCTGATTCTCAGGACAGAAGCAGTGCGGAACAGGATCCTCCAAGAGAAACCACGGTTGAAAAGCTCGGAAGAGTACAAGAAGGTGTTCCTAGACAGAGACAGAACACGAACAGAGAGACAGCAACTGAGGGAGAGGACAAAAAAGGGAAGGGAGCTAGGAAAGGAGACAAGGATGGAACCAGCAGAGGTCAGCCAGAGCAGAACAGAGCAGCAAGGGCAAGCACACACACAACTATCCTCAGAACCCCACAACCTATCACACCATCCCAACACACAATACAATCCATACCCACAGCTTCCACCCAACCCCCAACCATAGAATCCCATAGTATGCTACCAGGTCTCCCACCCCACGGGCCCCCCCAAAACCCACAGTGTTGGAAAGGAAACTGAAGGTATGGTACACAAACGCTGATGGAAAAACAAACAAGTGGGAGGAGTGGCACGAAAGAGTCAAATAGGCATCACCAGACATCATAGCGATCACAGAAACCAAGCTTACAGGTATGATAACAGATGCCATCTTTCCAGCGGGATACCAGATCCTGAGAAAAGACAGAAGGAACAGGGGGGGGGTGGAGGAGTGGCATTGCTGATCAAACACCGATAGAATTTTGATGAGC